GGCTGTTTCTAAAGCAGCAGCAGTCCTACAGTTTCTTTGCTTTAAGATAGGGGGCAACGGGTGCTCTACGGGTGGGTTGGTGCATGCAGACTGAAAATCAGGCTTTAAAAGAAAGGATTTGAAATCTGGAGGTCACATATAGCAAAAGGATTTTGAGGTGTCGCACCCTAACATCAGGCTATCTAGATTGTTAGGTTTCCTTAAGGAGAGACAAATTGAACAGATTTGAAAGGGGATGCAATTCGGCTAAAGGAGTTAAAGTGGTAAGCATAAGCCAACTTTTTAGCATGTGATTAACATTGGCTATAATTTCCTTTTTCTCCATTATAGAAAGCATGGAGGGAGATTATGTGGTAGGGATTTTGCCAAGATCTTTCTTGCTCCTAGAGAAACTTTTGGTTCTACTTGTTCCAACTACAATTGACAATACATTAAAATAGCGGTTCAAAAGATGACAATTGAAATAAATTTTCAAAGAAATTTAGCCTCTAATAATTCACTAGGAAGCCCAGAATGAAACTAGCATGCAGTAGATTCATATCCTTAACAAATAATACCTTTTTCATGCATACACACGCAGACAAGAAGCAAGGTAGGCCTTCTCCAGCTTCTGAAGAGAACAACTAAGAGCAAGAACTGAGGGTTGCCTATGCTAAAGCCATTAGCAATTTCTTATTCTCAGTAAAGCCCAAGCTATTCCTCCTAGGCCCAGGCCAGTGGTATGGGCACCAACTCTTTGCCAACATTGCTTTGTGATCTTCCAGTCTTAGGTTCTGCAGAAGGAAACCCAAATCAGATTTTTTACAACCACAGTGAAAATACTGCTACATAAACATGACCCTTCATTGTCCTCTCCAAAAGAATAACACCACACACACTTTCCTTCATTTCTGTGCCTGTCTACATCCCTTTGCCTCTTATGCATTTACACAGGACTCACGTTCTATGAAGCTGAGCAAAAAAGAGACAGAGGTGCATGGGCCTTAATGGGTGGGCAGTCTAAATCCATGCTTCTTAAAGCCCCTACCCTAACAAACATGCCACTTCTAGTTGCAAGTGGAAAAAGCAAAGGAGAAGAAAAGCTTGGATTGATTTAGGGTAGTTATTTGCTTTTCAGTGCTGTCTGCAGCTGCAGTCCCTCCTACCACTGTTCTACCTTCAGTGCATCCTGCAGAACAGGGTCTAGAACTTCACACATACATGTCCACAGAGTCACACGCAAGACTCTTAGCTCATGTTTTGCAAGTAGGCATGAAGTAATTGTCCTATTTGGGTGCTTCTAAGAAGCAGCCAGACTGCTTATATACCTACAGCTGTGCTGAAATCATCTTCAAAACCTCCAACTTGATATTTTCTTCTACAGCCATGTATTTCAACACTTATTACCTGAACTGAGTGTACAGATGACACCTCAGAGAAGTGAAGGTTGGCTGAAGATCTTTGAATTTCCCAATTTCCACAGGGCAGCCGTGTGAATCATTTGCCTGTTAAGCCCTCCTCCTTTAAAGAATATAAAAAATACTGAGCAAAAATGCTAGACTTAACAAGGCGATTTAAGGTTTATATAAAAGACATCTTGTTCCAATTGAAATACCCTTCCTTGTGTAAGCATTTCAAAAGCCCACCAGAAAGATTGATTTTCTATAACTAAAATGTCTAGCAATAACATATGGCTTAAGAAACTAATTTGTATATTTCAGGACATTCTTTTTTTCTCCACCGTCTTTGTTAGAACTTTAATGTGATGAACACAGAATCCCTGAAAAAAATGGATTTATTTTGCAGGTAAAAACCAGGACAATTCAGAGTAATGTGCGTGAGGATGTAACAGTAATTTTATTGGCACATTCCATTAGGATGCCTTATGTGGAGGATGTACTATAAACTACCTGCGAGGATTTAATGTCATACTGTCGTATCTCTATGTTGACACTGGATTAATTTGTGTTCTACACTAAATGTAAATTGTAAATGTTCTGCAGAGGAAGAGCAGGGCTTAGGTAGACTTGGATTAGACAAACTGAAGCACCCCACAGTATTTTTTTAAACCAAAGGCAATTACTGGCAAAAACACCCTGGAGCACACTGTGGGCTGCATAGTTAGTAGCTGTCCTTCAGCCTGATGCCAGAGTAACATGTTTTTCCCCACAAAGAATTATGCTTGAGCACTCACTCAGGATAGAGCAGAAGTAGGGGTGTCCCTGCCTAGTGATAGGAGAGATACACTCACTGCTGGTTAAATTAATCAGTCTTCCCTCTTTTGTGACTAGCACAAGTTTGACATTGGTACTCAGCCTGGGTAACAAGAACCAGTGGGATGTATCTATGTGATCCCAGGTAGCTGGTTTCCCAATTTCTGACAGGTCTGTTAAGCCCTGTGCTTTTTATTGGTGCTCACTTGCTTATCTTAATAAAATAAATCAGTCCATATCTGCTATACACAACTGGCCCGGAGAAGCATTTAATTTTATTTTCCCACTTCTTGCAGGATATATTTTGTTCTATTTATGTGATTTATGCTTTGCACAGTAATGAGTCCATCAAACTACAGATCATAAAAATAAGACTGGAGACTGTATATCTCAGCAGCGTGGCAGGACAAAATGCATTAATGTCTCCTGCCTACTAATACAGGTTCACAGATACCTACATTTTCAATTTTGAATTCTGTATTTTCAGTTTTGAACTTAAGGGAGAAGGAGGATCTCTTCCTTAATAGACAGCTAAGATGTCTGGACCAGTCTTTAGTCCTGATATGATTTTTTCTGAATTCAAACTTTTCTTTGATCTGTGTATATATATATATCCACGGGAGAATTTACCTTCTAAGTGTATGCTTTGTGTCAGAATTTATGAAAGCTTCCAAATAAGCCATAAGCTCCTTTACATTGTATCTTCTGAGAGGGTTTCTCAGTGCATTTCAAAAGTTGCAGTTAACTGGATTGCAAATAGGTTAAAAAGAATTAGCACTTATATTATGCATGACGTGTTGAAATTAAACAATCTTAATTTTATACCTAATTTGTAATCAGATGTCATCACTGACATATTGCAGATGAGTAGTCCTAGCTAAAGACCAATATCCCAAGATGGAATTGAATAGAGAAGTACAGAGGCATAACTGCAATTCAGACTTGAAGTTGTCTCCTTTTAGTCCATTTTCTGTCACCTAGATATCACTGGCTCCCAGCCACCGAAGCATGTACCTACTCTGTGTGAGCCACAAAACCCACATGAGGCACCTCTGCCAGGCTTGTGCTGGCTTCTGTTCAGGGTCAGCTCGAGTGGATCTCTCCCGTGCTTGGAGGCAGCAGGGGTTGTCCCAGAGCTGCCACAAGTCAAAAATCAATTGCAGCCCTGAGAATGGGGAAAGGGAGGAGAAGGAGGAGAATAGAAGTGGTGGTGAGCCTGGTGACGTGTCATTACCGTTTCATAGACGAAGCACAGCTAAAGCATGGTTGCAAACTGCTGCTCTAGAAGACTGCCTGGTTGTGGTGCACAAAATACACATTTACTTGCTTAGGGGGAAAACAGAGAACCTTGTCTTGAAAAAAACTTTTGGATTAGTTTAAGGCTCCTCCTTTGCTGTTCAAGAGTATATAATATCCCTCCCTTTTCTCCCAGATTTGAAAGATGCTATATAAAACCAAAATCCATTGATTACTACTCTTGCTGCCCAGCCTGACTGCTCTTACACCAGAGTAAGGGTGCTTCTAGGAAACTACAGAAAGTGGTGCTCAGAGGCCTGTCTTCTCAACTCTGAAATGTCTACGTCTGTTTCTCGCCATTACTGGCAAGCTCTAGCAATTTTTTAAATTTTAACTTGCACTCACTGTAAAGCTTTTATTTTAAGTAATATGAGGGGGTTTGTGCATGTTGTAGTGCTTAAAAATGCCCCCGTGAGACAGGGTTGTCGAACAACAGACTTGCATTCAGATGGATTTGTTTTGCTTTGCAAAAGTCATCAATTAGAGCATCTCAGAGCCATCTTTGGAGAATGCAAGGAACTTCCATTATGAATGGCTTAAGGAGTCATGCTGCTTTCTAAATCGATAGCTGCCATCTAATCATACTGTATGTCACACTAATATTTGTCTCAAATATGCCATTCTTTGAAAGCATTAGCAAAGTATGTTTTAGCATCTAGTACCTTATCTTTAACTGCAGTTGAATCAATGTTAATTTTCAGTTTGTTACAGAGCTGTTGGCCAACAATGCTAGGTAGGGCCCTGTTAGAGAGCAGCTGCACAATTCCTGTCTACTACAGGCAGAAAGAAGAAAAGTTTTGTCCTGAATCCTTGATCTCTACAAGAAACTCAGTGTTATTTTTCCCATCCTCTTCTACTAAGACTATACTGGCACTACTGCAGCTTAGCAGAGTAACATAGAAGATGTTCAAGCTGAGTGTAAGAGGAGTCTAGATCAGGATCTACTTAGCTCTCCCTCTTCTGCAGTTTCTGACTCCTGCAGTGCATTAATTTGTGCCCTCAGCTGTAAGGACCTCCCCACATCATTCCTTGAATGTTTCCAGTAATTCATCACTTCAGAGTACCATTCCTTGATTTTTATGAGGTATTTCAGGATGCTGTGTATCACTCTATGGCCTTTAGTCTTTCTACCAGTGTCTCCAGTAGTTTCTCTATGTATGTGTATGTGTGTATCTGTATTTACTTATATAACAGAGTCACCTTATAAAGATCAATTGATTAGGAATGGCAAAGTATTAAGTTGTATGAGCACATAATATAAAATAAATATGATCACTGAAATAGCAGTTGGCTTCTTATATGGGAAAATAAATACTTTAATAATTACCTTTGAGAAGACTTAACTTCCCTCTGCTTTTCTTTCTTTTCTTCCCCAAATCAAGCTGATGCACAATTCATTTTTGTGTGATGTATTTTTCAGATACGGAGACAAGTGAAAAAATCCAGAAAAGTGGAGTTCTTCAGGTGTTTGCAAGTCTGTTGACGCCACAATCTTCCTGCACAGCAAAAGTAGCTAACGTCATAGCAGAAGTAGCCAGAAATGGTGAGGTTTTCTACAAGAACTTTTCTGCTGGAACATCTTCAGTTTTTCACCTCACTTGTCAGTATGTTTTACTTCATTTATGTTTTCATTTTGTAGATTAGACACCTTTCATATCCCTCCCTTTCACTCTTTTTGTTTGTTTTGTCAAATTTTGTTTCTCTACTTTCTAATCCAATCAAAACAGCATTTGGCTGATGGAATTTTTTTAGTCCTTACTTTTATGCTTTTTAGCTTTTAAGACAATCAATAGTATAATTTATTGGGCAGAAGTAGTATGTCACTGGCTTTATGAAATGCATACAGAAAAAAAAAGATGTGCATCATTTGTGCATCCAGTTACACATAGTGCATGTAGTTACAACAGTAGTATGTATACAGGTGGTTAAGGGATAGTAGATTATTTCTTTGGTCTGAGATTTGTGATAATATTGTTACTGTTATGAGGCCTTTGATGCCACACCAAAACCAGTTACTCCTACCTAAAGAGCACTGTATGTGTTAGAGTAAGAGCCCAAGATCCCAAATGAGAATCAGGGGTCCACTTTGGTATGTATTACACACATACAATCACATAATGTAGGAGATAATCTAAAACTATTTACATTTTTTTTCTTTAGAAAGAATTATCTTAAAGCTCACCCAACACCCTGCATACCTTGAGCTCAAAAAAATGGCCTCCCATCTGCAGGCAGACGCTAGTGGCAAACCCTGTGACAAGGGTAGAGGAGGTTTGTGGCTGACTTTTCTCACTCCTTGACTTGCTGCTGTCCCAGCCAAGGAGGCATAGATTGCATTTTGCACTTTCCTTCCCCAGAGACCAGGCAGGGAAAAGCAGGATGCCTCT